CTGGTTTAAGTACTGGCAGAGAGAGTGAAGTGGCGAGTCTAACCCAGGTATGGCTCCTCAGCTTGATTGCACGGAGATGAAGCACAGGTGTAACCCATCAGCGCCGCCTGCACTGCCGCTCACGCCCACCTAGAGGAAAAGGAGGAAGGGAAGGAGGGAGGGGGAGTACCGCCACTAGTCGGCGCCAACGGCTGTGACAGATTGTTATGAAAGCATTTGGATGTTGGGTTTGTAGTCTGGAGACAGTGGAGTGAATGGTGTCACACGCTGCCTCTGCATCAGCTGATGGGGGAATGTAAACAGCGACTACAGTAGCAGAAGTGAGCTCCCTTGGCATGTGGTATGGACGCAACTAACAGTTCACTATCTGGGCTACAGAAACATTCCTTCTCGGCAACATGTCCAGGGTTACACCATCTCTCATTAAAAAAACAGTGCAATTCCCCGTCCTTTCTTCTCACCGCTCCTGTCCATGTCTCTGTCCACCCGTACTGTCTGGAAGCCGGGTACAGCAGCGCTGGAATCCGGGGAAAGCGAGGGTACAGCAGGTTTAAATTTCCTCTGCTTGGCTTTCAGCTTAGCTCCAGCTCTGCAACCCCGGCGTCTCCTTCGTAGCTCCTCTGGGATTTCAGGCCTAGCTCCGGACAGTAGCAGCGGTTTACTCAACGCGATCAGCTGGTCCCGTGTGTAAACAATGCTATCACTCCGCTCCACGTGGTTCCAGTTGTAAAAAGTAGGAACAAAACTACAATAAAACTAGTCAAACAAAAAGTGGCCATTGCTGGAAGTACATACACCGTATTACAGGTAAGATGAGAAAGCATTTCTTCAGGATCATTTAATTAGTAAGGTTTGCGGAATGCACGTCTGGGATAGACATGACATTTAATTTTTACTCTCACTGTCTCCTGAAGGGGCCGTTGCGTCCATGCGCACTGCCATCACGTTGAACATGGTGAACCTCTTCAGGTCCTGGTAGGTCTTCAGGGACACAAAGACACACACAATGGTGTGACGATGGTGAAGCCGCAGATGCTGCCCAGAGCTAGCTGCCTGTCTGTCCTCCTAGAATAATGTCGTCCCCTCCAGCTGTATGTCCGTCTGGGATGTTGTCGTGGAGCTATGTTTCTGTTAAAGCAAACACGCGGCAGTCTTTCCACTCTCTGTGGGTTTCTCTCAGAAAACGTAACCCATCCAGCTTGTTGCAGAGGGAGCGGACATTGGAGAGTTGGAGGACGGTCCTGCTGGTCTGGAGGGGTTAGCCTTTATCCTAGCATGGATCTGGCTTTCTTCCTCCTCCTTTGTTTACGTTCATACCGTTTGCACTTCCTTCTCTCTTGTGTAACTGCTGGGGTAGTCTCTGATCGGACTCAGTGTCAGTGTAGTATGTCCAAATCACAACTGGCCGCTGTGATTTTAGCGACGTTCATTGCCCTGATGTTCAGCAAAGTCTCTCGGCTGTAAGTTTTGCGGAATAAACGTCTGGGATAGACAATTTGGGGAAAAGCCAAAACAACTCCATTTCATGGAAGTGGAGTTTTTTTTTTTAGCAACCAACTCCTCCGTTTGGCTTTCAACCATGGCTCTCCATGCGGCTACCACTACACACACAAACAAGAAGGCAGGAAAGAAATTGCGTCATTGCCCGTAATTCGCTATGATTAGTTAGTCAGGTTGACGGCGTAATACATCTGGTGCATCAGCATAGAGCTGCAATTTATAGAATGTGACCTAAACCAGGGGCTGCAAGGGTCAGTGGTTAGCACTGTTGTCTCGCAGCAAGTAGGTCGCTGGTTCGCATCCTGGTGAGGACAACCGGAATCTTTCTGCGTGGAGTTTGTATGTTCTCCCGGTGCAGCGTGTGTTCTCTCCGAGTTCTCCGGCTTCCTCCCACAAGTCCAGAAACATGTTGAGGTTAATTGGTGATTCTGAATTGTCCATGGGTGTGAATGTGAGTGTGCTTGGTTGTCTGTCTCTAAGTGTAGCCCTGCGATAGACTGGCAACCTGTCCAGGGTGTCCCCTCCTTACGCCTGAGTCAGCTGGGATAGGCTCCAGCCCCCCCGCGACCCCAGTGAGGATTAAGCGGTGTATAGATAATGGATGGATGGTCCATACTGTCTCCTCACTTTGGCAGATCATCTACATGTTCTAATCCTTCACGATCTAATATCGTCATATCATGCACCTGTACTTGGCACGGTCGTTTTAAAGAACAAATCACTCCATAACTTGTGAACAAAGCAATTTTAACAAAATCCATCAGTCACAGATCTAAGTTATGGACTCGACTGTCTACCCTTACAGTTTCAGGCCTTGAAAGTTAATCCCAAGTTATTTGGTAACAAATAAATAGACAGACAGACACATAAACCAACTACTGTAACCTTGCATGCGCTGAGGGTTAAATATCCTTAGTATAGAAGGCTTACACTTGGAGTTTCCAGCCTTTTAAGTACACTGGTGACAGGTTAAATCAATTCAAAGCACATTCATTAAATTTAACATGAGCAAAATCAGGATTTTAGAAAAACCTCTCAGTATAAGCTGAAGTAGTTCATTCAACAATGAAATAAGTTAAAGCCGTAAATGACCCCCAAGTCTCAAAAGTTTTGTTAGCAGGACATTATATGCTTTACAAAGCTCATGATTGTTAAAGGCTAATTGTTGCAGGCTTGATGCATTATATTGCATAAGATTGAGTTCTTGTTTTTTTTCTGCTATTACAGTGAATGAGAGAAAAAATGAAATAAGTATTATTACATGCAACCCATGACACCCAAAATGTGTTGTCATGTTGTGTATATCAGATTCACAGTACTAATTTGTGGTTTATCATCTCATTTCAGAGAAACAGATGGGCTTAGTGGATAACTTGGCGGAATTTTCTAAAGCCTTGAAGCCTGCTTGCCGTTGTGTAACTCCAGAGGAATACACCTCTTCACTTCTAGACAGTGAAGAAGCTGCAGCATTCATACGTTACATCAGAAACAGGTAAA